AATATTCACAAATCTCATGGGCCCACACTAAAACTCTAATTTGGGCCCCACCCTATTAACTCACAAATCTCAAATGTGCTCTCTCTTTCTTCCTTCCCCCTCTACTGTTGGGTCCAATAAACAGCTAGGAAAAAGCCCATTAAATCCAATTAATTATTGTTGGTAATTATGATTATTAATTAATTCAAGGGTTTTTTTTTATATATTCATTATTAAAATTAACAATTCAATACTTTATCGATAAATCACAGGTCAGTTGGCTAATCCATGGCTGTTGTGTACTAACCAACTCAATTTATGCTTGAAACGGTTGTTGGTGACACCCTAAATTGTTATTATTATTGCCAAGGCATGTGCCATTGATGTTTTTGGATCTTGAATGATCTGTAAATTCCATTCTACAACTATTAAAATCGTTGGAAGATGTTGATTTTGTGCTTTGGTTAAGAATTTAAACAGGAAAAAGAACCTTCTATGCATATGATCCTTTCCTTTGCCTTTTATTTTTTTATATGTTATGATCACAATTTTCTGTTTAAATAGGCTGTTTTTTTGAGGTAGACATCTCATTTAATTGCCTAGTTACTGGATAATAATCTCCTTGTTTATTAAGTAACTAGCTAACTATAATACGAGTAGCAAAGGAAATCCAATTTATAACATAACATTTAATTCAATTAATTTATACAATAATTTTTAAGAGGTAATATCTAATAGATCAAGAATTTAAATTTTAATATCTGCAATCATTTCTCTATTTTTTATTACAATCACTTTTGTAAAAAAAAAATTCAATTAGGTTTCACTTGTTTCTAATGTCTCATTAGGATTCTATATTTAATCAAGATGAACATGCTGTGATATTTTGTAAGGTATGAAAGTTAAATCGCATATTTATCTCCCTTGCAAAGTTTCTTTTATATCTCAAAGAGATTGATTTCTACATCCTTATAATTGAAGCTATATGACTATGTCTTCCCCTTGAAGAGAAAAAAAAAAGATAAAAAAAGGAATCAGTTTCTACTTATAATCAATTCACACACTACATGATTATCTAAGCTGGGTGAACTATAAAATCAAAATATCAACACTTGATGGGGTTGAAAAGCTGGGAAGAAAAATTTGTTTGATTCAAATCCATTAACTACTTGGTGTCTTCCATACGTAATTGGTTACCATGAAAGTTAGAGGTATTTATTTAAAAAAAAAAAAAAAACTTCATAATTTGCCTTCTTTGATCAAAAAATGAAATCTGATTCTTCAATCAAAACCTACTTTACTTAAAACCTAAGATCAGATCCACAACCTCTTGTCATTCTCAAACTTTATTAAGGTTAGAAATAACAAGGGACCTCTCCTTGTTTCATGTTCATTCAAATCCTTTTATGGAAACTATAAGCTCATAATTCTCTTCTCTCTCTCATATCATGACATTCATATAATTATTGATTGGATAAACTTTTAGGGTTTTGATTCCACCCTTGTTTGGTTATAATTCTCCCATGGATTGATGTGATGATGTGGCTATGCATGCACAAATAATGATAATTTTGGTGGGGATAACAGATGTTGAAAAAGTCTTAAGGCATAATGTGGCAATCAAGCAGATAGAGGGGAGGGTGTGTAATGTTCCCTTGGAACATGGGTTGAGATGATTGGGAAGGGTTAGTTGGTCTTTGCCTAATAGAGCTCAAGCATGCCACATGTTGTCTCTTCACTTTAAGCATGTGGGGGATTCATCTTACTTTCTCAACCCTTTCTCCATGTCCCAATATATAGATATATACATACATACATATATATATATATATATGTATATCACTATCATCCAATTATCAAACTGTATATATGCTTGAAATTGAATGGATGTATGTATTTGGAATGCATGAATGCATGCAAGGACATGCATGTTTCTTACAATGTTTTAGTAAAAAATGAAAGTAATCTTGCTTTAAAAAAAGAAAAATGAAAGATAGAAATTATAGCAAGCATTAATCACTAAAAAAATATAAAGAAAATCAAGGTAATTTGTTTCACTAAAAATATTCAAGACAAACAAAATGGTATGTATTGGACAAAATAAGTCAAATAGTAGAAATCTTTACTTCTCAACCCTCAAATTAGACAAGTACATAACAAAAATGAAAGAAGTGAAACACTTTAGGGTCATGCTATTTAAAGACCCCATTGGATTGATTTAATTTGATTATAATATGTATGATAATATTTTTTTATCAAAATATCAAAAACATGCCGACGAACATCAACGCATATACACACACACATATATATATATATACACGTTCTTACATTCTCTTAAATTTTTGTTTTATTGTTGACTATTTATCCATTTGGGTGGGTGTAGGTGAAGCACTATTTTTTATTTGTCATTTTTATTATATAATATTAATTGTTTCTTTACAATAATCTTTATTGGCCCAAAAAAATTGTAAATAACATTACAAGGTCACAAAACTTCAATTTTTTTGTTCATGATTAATGAATTAATAAGCCAAATTAACAAACTGCTTCTAGAAGCAGTTGAAAAGTTGGTTTTTAATCAATTATTATTACATCAACATAATTATATAACACATATAAATAAAAATATTATTAATTATGAAAATTTATTGACTTTGCCAATAGATAGGGTTTCTCTTTATATATTTAATAATTATTATTATTGTAAGGAGATGAGTTTTTTTTTATAAATCAAGATTCAAATTTTACAAAAGCTATTCTAAAAATAAAATATTGAATGCATCATATCAACATGAGAATTATGTCTTTAAAATTATTTGAATCCAAACAAAATTTTGAAAATAATTTCGACCATAATATATATATATATAACTAAAAACCCATGTTGAAAAAATCAATTCTTATACTTGTTTGTTGCTAGGTTTGCAATGTTTTTGAAGAGACATTGCTTTTACACATGATAGAGAGAGGAGAGGAGGAAATAATGGGTGAATAATAAAATTACAAGCAGAAGCTTGACAAAGGAGGAGAGTGGTGGGCAGCCATGTGCATAAGGAATCTGACAATGCATTTGACATAGCATTTTCTCAGCTTTTGCTCATCATGAATTAAACACACAGCTTTTAATTTCCATTATTAAATTTTGGTGAACGTTAGCAATTCAATGGAACCATCATGGAGTAAATTTTATCATGTGTTATACACTTCCTTTCATGGAATTTCTCAATTGAAAACAATATCCTTCTGCAAAAAAAAAAAAATGTTAATCATCCTTGTTTTTTCTTCTTAAACATACAATTAATTTTCTCCAATTAGTCTTTGATTAATTTGAAATATAATTCAATATTGAATAAATATTATATTCTTTGAAAAAAATTTAGGTCTTAATGGCTTCAATGTATGATGATGTGATCACATTATTTTATTGGCAGTTTTAATTTTTTATCTAACTACTTTATTTAAAATTTTTAAAGAAATATTTACAAAAGCAGTCATAGTTTGAAAAAAAATTATAAATGTTGATATTTGAATCTCGAATTTATATTAATTCGTAAAAATGATTGTATGAACTAATTGAATTAAATTTCGGATATATAATATTGAAGGAAAAGAATGAGTCTTTTATTATGGCCAGCCCTTGTGATCATTCTAAGAATAGAAAATTGCAAATTTTCAGCACCTACTGGTTTCATGCTCTGGAAGCTCAACCTCTCACCTCCGCTATTGTCATTATCATCTTTTCCTTAATCCATTATTGATTCTTTTTCTTAAAATGGATGATTTAGAAGGTAAAATTTTCTTAATTGGTGGTAATTACAAAGTTCTAAATTTATAAATTTTAAGTTTAAGATTCAATTTTTCTTTTCATGTGGTTAATATCCTTACTACCAAGAAACAAATCATTTTTACTAGAATTGTTTGTTATAATGTTCTTAATAACGTAAAACTTGTGGTGATTGATTCATGATGAAGATCAATCCAAAGAACAGTAAGACTATCCTAACGTCCAGTAATTTCCATGCATAACAGTATCTTGAAAAAATTGTAATATGATTAAGAAAAAAAATTATATTCTTGTTTGTAAAACACATTATATATACATATAAAAAAATTGATATGATAATTTTAGATATGATATAAAAATAATATAAAAATATATAAAATGATATAATTTAAAATTTTAATAAAAATTATATACGAATTTGATAAAAATAAATATATATTTTTTATTAATATATTGATAATATAAATTTTTTTATTTTTATACAATATTTAATATAAAATAAATATAAATACATAAATTATCATATTTTTAATTCGATAATAATTGCTTGTTTATCCCATCTTCCCACCTAACACATTTCTCATTTAGAGTAAATCAATTATTTTTTTTAATTTTCCTGCTGTTATAATTGTTTTTAGTTGGCAAGGATTAGGGGTGTAAATGATACATTAGTACTCGCAAGCTACTCGGGTTCGATTCGAAAAAAACTCGAATTCGGTTCGATTATTGTCGAGTCGAGCTCGAGCTCGAGTAGCTCGACTTATCGATCGAGCCGAATTCGAGTATTCTTATATCTGACTCGAGTAGCTCGCGAGCCTAATCGAGCTTTTATATTTAAATATATTTTTATTTTTTTTAATTAAAAAAATATTTCGAATCCGAGTTCGAGTTCGAGTTCGAGCATGAATAATCGAACTCTTGTCGAGTATACAAATCGAGCTTATTTTTACATATTAATCGAGCTTAATCGAGCGAGCTCGAGTAGCTCGAATTCGATCACGAATCGAGCTCGAGCTTGAAAAATAAAACTCGAGCGAGCTCGAGCCGAGTATCGAGCCCCGAGTTGTGAGTCGAGCTCGAGCTCGAGCTTCTCACTACTCGACTCGGCTCGGCTCGTTTACAGCCCTAGCAAGGATACGAGTACAATACATGAATGTCCAAAGGCAATGTTGTTCTTTTGCATTTTCTAAATCTTTAATGTGAAGTTAAGCCAACTGTACTTGTGCAACTTGGATTTCTTACATGAAAAGCATAACTACTTCAAACTAAACCGATATTAAAATTTTCAAGATACTGACCCAATTAGGCAACACCTTTTGCTCAGCTTAGAACAGGATTTGTTAATTTTTGAGATGAATATGCTGATGAAAGCCTGATTAGATGGAGGGTCAAGGTGAGAACCAAAGGAGGGTACTTTGAAAAATGATTAGGTGACAATTGTTTGAAGAAAGCCACTTGTAGGAAGAGGAAGAATGCTTCTTTTCTCGTTTGTTCTCTCTCCTGACAGAATCACATGCCATGCAGACAGCTGTAGACCCACTCACATTCTCATCCCACATGGATGTTTGAGAGAAGACCCTACAATTACCCACAAACACTCACCTCTTCCCCTCGCTCTCACACACAAAAAAAGGAAAAAAAATGCATTTTTATTTGCCTAGTCTTTAGCTATGACTACAATGGTGTTTCATATGATGGAAAAGTAACAAACCTTCCTACCTCTTATGAGTTTGTCTCAGAGTAACATCCGTTTCTTTTTTTTTTTTTGTTCTTTTTTCCTTCTTGGATCTGAAGAGATTCCTCTTACAGTTTTGGTTTCATTAGTTTGTTTTAGTTTCTTAGAGTTATAGACTTATAGTTACAGGCAAACTGTTGATTTTGCGGACATATTGTGAAATGAGGTACTGGGTCCCTTCCTTTCTTTTTTTTTTAATTTTTTCCTTTTTGGTTGTATTATGAGGTTAACACAAGGCATTGTCTGGTTTGCCTGTGAAATCTATATTCATTAAAGACAGTTTTATGGTATCTTGGTAATTTTTCTTTCTTTCTTTTTTTTCCTCTCGCAGTTTTGCTTGGTTGTTGAAAAAAGTTTGAGCTTTGGACGATTTCATGGCAAAGCCAATAAAGGGATCTTAATGTTAATAAAAGAAAATTTGTGGGGTTTGAGTTTATATTGCAAAAAGTCAATTTTGATATTGTGGGAGGCCAAACTTTATGGTTTTGAGTTGTAATTAGTTGTGTAAAACTGGGTTTCAAAAGTGATTTATGGGGACTTTCAGACATGCAGAAAGAAGCAATCTGAAATTTTGATGAATTCTGGTTTAAAATGTACAGTTGTTTGTAGTTCATGTGGGAAGTGCTTTAGTCTGTTTAAGGGTTTTGGATAAAAGATAATATGTGTTTGAAATTTGGATATCTTTAAAGGGGAATGGTAGAAGAGGTAAAGAGAAAAAGAAGAGACAAGGGATTGCAAACTTTTTATTGGTTCTTGAATTGTATTTTGGTTTCTGAGGTATCTAATAGAATTGATTCTCAATTGGGTCCTTGAAGAGTTGCTTAGGCATCTGATAGCTCATACAGCACAGAAACTGATGTTATGGTGATAGAGAGGGAATGATGATTGCATTTCTATTGTTTGGAGAAAGGATGTTGAAGCTATAGGAATTAGGAGGTAGGAGGAGTATTAGGTTCTATTGGTTGAGGAGAAGATGGCTGCAAAGCTTCTACATTCATTGGCAGATGACAACCCAGATTTGCAGAAGCAAATAGGATGCATGACTGGCATTTTTCAAATCTTTGATCGTCATCATATGCTTACAACTAAGCGCCTGAGCCATAGGAAGCTTCCTGCAGGTAGTTCTTTTAGGAATGTTGCTTAATCTATAATTTTCCTCTGAAAGTAATTCTTTTTGCTCAAGTCTAATACTAATCACTGATTCATGCAATATTCATATAAGGCTAAAATTGTGCTTTTTAATTTCAATTGTATAATTCATTCACAGCATTGACCATTTCCAACAGCATTAATATCTATTAGCATCTGTATTTTTTATGTTTCTGTCTAATTTTAATGTTAGGTTTTGTGTTTTAATTGAACAATTATGAATGTGTATTCAAGTATTTCTGTGTTTTAATGGAACAATTATGCATGTGTATTCAAGTATTACTATTATAGAGCGGCCTATGCTCCAACTGATTGATTTGATTTCAACTGCTTTCTATCTGTACATTGATGATTAATGGAGGTGGAGTTCTTCCAACTGTTGAACTTGTGTTGTTGTCTGAAATTATTATTGAAGAGTCATTTGTAGATGTAGATTACTTATAGTACATTCTTAGGAGGCCAAAGTATAAGTATAGTTCTCTGATCATAAATGTTGATTACCCCTTATTTTTGTAGTTGCTGATTTCTCCATAGTTTTCTCAGAGCCGAGTTTCTATTTAAAGCACAATCTCATTTATTTGTTTTCCTTATTTGGTATTTTGTGAACTCACAGTAAAAGAACAATGGCAGTGCAGTCTGAAGGACAATCTAACCCTTTCACATCTTTACAGGTAGCTCCCACTTGAGAAATGGAATCCTGGAAGGGGATTTAAATAATGCATACTATCGATCCACAGCAATGGTACATTCCTAGCAATTTGCTCTGTGTTTTCTCTTCTCCTCCCCTCCCCCTTCACATCTCCTTTTCTATGCCATGCAACACTGGATGGTTTGTAGTTCATTTCTTCACTAAATAGTTGCCTTTCTGACATATAAATATTCTCAATATTATATCATAATTCTATCCTGATGTCTTGGTTGTGACTACGTACACGAGAAAACTTTCCAAAATCTGATTGTGCATAGTTTCTGACCCTAGATAGATACTGAGTACTCAGATTGCATCTATAATTACAAAAAGTTACTAAGGCTATCCTCGTTTTTATGGAAATCTGTCCTTACAGTCTTTTGATTTCCAGGAAATGAATATAAACAGAAGTGTGAATGAGAAACAAAGAATCTCCACAGAATCTTCAAGAGCCTCTTTTTCATCCTCGTGCTCATCTTCCTTGTCATCACTGGATTGTAACAAGACAGCTCAGCCAGATGCCTCTTCCTTTGACAGAATCCTTTTTCCTGAAACTCCCTCTAGGGACACAGTGATGAACCAACCAAGTGCTTCTTCACATTTGGGGTCACAATGCCTTGACCTTCGAGATGTGGTCAAGGACTCAATGTATAGAGAAGCCAGAGGACTATTAGTTAAAACAACAACCAGAGAGGAAGTATCGGGCAGTACCGTGAAGCATAGAGATTCACCAAGGCCATTTCAGCTTCCTAAATCAGTGGATAGGTCTTATGGTGTTGGGATCATTGGAAAGCAAAATGTGCCTGCTGATCGGCAAGATCCTCTTAGAGTTCTTGCAAAACTTCGGGAAGCACCTTGGTACTACAACAATGAAGCTAGAGAACTTCAAAGATCATCACATGAAGCACATGGCTCGTGGAATTCAATGTCAAGGGATGCTCCTCGATTTTCTTATGATGGAAGGGAGACTAATCGTTTATCTTTTGAATCACGAGACACCTCCAAATCAACACCAAAGCTTAAAGAGCTGCCAAGACTTTCTTTGGATAGTAGAGAAAGGTCAATGAGGGGTTCAAATTACATTACTAAAAGTTTTCATAATGGTGGCAACTTGAACAACAGAGTTACAAATCCACCACAATCGCCAGGAGCCCAGAAGCGCCCTCCTAATGTTGTAGCCAAGCTGATGGGTTTGGAACCATTGCCAGATTCTTCCTCAACTGGTGATGGGCAGTTGGGAGTGATGAAAACCTGCTCTCTTGAAGATAACAATCCTTTCTCGCAGCCACTAAGAGCAAATGATCTGTACAGGCCAACCAGAACTTCTAACTCTACAAGAAGTTCATTAAAAGACCCAACATCACCACAGTGGAAAAATCCTGATTTGTTCATGAAACCTGTTTCCAATTCAAGGTTCCCAATTGAGCCAGCACCATGGAGACATATGGATGGAAGTAGAAGTTCTCAGAAACAACCTCCCAAACATGTAAAAGTTCCAGCCAAGATTCCAAATTCTTTCCCTTCAGTTTATAGCGAGATTGAGAAAAGATTGAAAGATCTAGAGTTTCAACAATGTGGAAAGGATCTCAGAGCTCTTAAACAGATACTAGAAGCAATGCAAACAAAGGGACTCCTTGAGACCAGGAAAGAAGAACAAGCTGCAAACTTCGTGTCTCAAAGAGACTATGAACCAAAATGTACAAGCCCTAGTCAGAATCTGAGAGGCCAGCGAAGCCCACAGAACACTCGCATCAATGCTTCCACTACAACGAGGGGTTCAGATTCTATTAGAACATATGAATCTCCAATTGTGATCATGAAACCAGCAAAACTTGTTGAGAAAGTTGGTATTCGTGCTTCAACAATAATTCCAATAGATGACTTTTCTAGTCTCCCCAAGATTCCTAGTGTGGGATCTGTAGATAATAACAAAGGTTCAATAAATAGTCAAGCAGCTAGATATCATACTGCCAGAAACAATCACAGCGATTCTGCTGCCAGCTCTACTGATAAGAGAGCTAGTAGTAAGAATATAAGGTCCATGCAGTCTTTAACGAAACCTCCAAAAGAAAGCACCACAACTTCAGTAAAGAATTCAGGATCTGTGAGCCCAAGACTGCAGCAGAAAAAGCTTGAGTTGGACAGGCGATCTCGTCCACCTACTCCACCATTTGATCCAAGCAAACCCGGAAGGCAATCCCACCGGCATTCCTCAGAGTCAGGTTCCCCTGGTGTTAAACATAGATCAAAATCTCACAACGTGCAGCAATATGATGAACAACTCAGTCAGGCAAGTACTGAATCACAGTCTTCTAGTCACCAAGGAGATGACTTTTCTATCCAATCAGACAGCAATATTATCTTGGAGTCCAAGTTAGATGAGGAAGTTACCAGTCATGACCAGTCTCTTGAGATCAGTAGTAGTCAAAGCCCATCCATGAAGGCTGCCAAGTACTCAATTTCTGGCATAAAGCAGAAAGTAGGTTATATTAATCTTGAGTTTTCACCTTTCATCCAATTGTTCTTTTTGGTTATCTTACCTGTCATGTTTTGTTTTTGTCAGAAATCAACATCAACACTGGTTGAGGATGGATCAATGACAGAATTTGCTATGGTTGCTCCAGAACATCCAAGTCCGGTTTCTGTTCTTGACACCTCAATCTATAGAGATGATGCACCATCTCCAGTAAAGCAGATATTGAACACCCCAGAAGGTAATAATTCTGTTTTCTAAGATTCTTGATTTGGATATAAACTGTTGTTAATTAAATGCTGTTGGGTTGACCCATTCAAAGCATTTTTATTTTCTTTGTCACACATTTGATTGCAAGACTAGAAAAAATTTTAAAGCATCATCTTACTCAGTATTTTTAACATGACTTTTTTTTTTTCTGTAAGGGGGGGGGGGGGGGGGGGGGGAAGAATGTTTCATTTTTAAATGCTAAGGATTATACAGGATTATACATATTAGTTCAATTTTAAATCTTCCTCCCTGGATCCGGCATCTTTTTAGAGTAAATTTTAAACCATGTTTGCTTATCCCAGTAACCTTTCTAGAAAATTTACAATTCCATCTTAGTTACCACAATTTGTTGTTTTCCGGGCTGTAATGCATTTCTGCTGTGCATATGCACATGTTAATTGAACATCCAAATAATAACTAAAAAGTAGAATAACAAAACGCAAAAGGCAAAATGAAGAAGGAAATTGTATCATCATCTTTCATTGTGGTTGCCACCATTGCTATGTTTCTATAGGCTATGTTAGAGAAATTGTAGTTGTATTGGGATGCATAAAGTGCAGTCCATCAATTTAATTCAGTTAGCTGTGAGTCTTAGACTGGTTATAAGCCAAAACTTCCTTCTACCCGCCTTTAACAATAGCTCTATTAGCAGCATATGGAGTTTAGATTAAGAATGAACAAATACTACTCGTCTCCTTGTCATTTTCTTATGCCATGCAAAGGGATCTATGAACTAAATCTCACTTGAATATTCATTGTGTCAGGTAATGATGCTGAAGGTTTCAATGACAGTCACAATGAAGAGCAATGGAACCCTGCGGATAGGTGCTTGTCAAACAACATGGGGTCTGGTCTTACCTCAGAGATTAATCGCCAGAAACTACAGAACATTGAGCATTTGGTCCAAAAACTTAGAAGACTGAACTCCAATCATGATGAAACCAGCACAGATTACATTGCATCACTTTGTGAGAATACAAATCCTGATCACAGATACATTTCTGAGATATTATTAGCCTCTGGCTTTCTACTGAGAGATCTTGGTTCTGGCTTGACAACATTTCAGCTCCATCCATCAGGCCACCCCATCAACCCAGAGCTGTTCTTTGTTTTGGAGCAAACCAAAGCAAGTTCTTTGCTATCGAAAGGAGGGAGTACCACTGGAAAGGTTTCCCATTCAAAGCCAGACCATGAGAAGTTCCATCGAAAGCTTATATTTGATTCTGTTAATGAGATTCTTGTTGGAAAGTTAGCTCTAGTTGGAGCCTCTCCAGAGCTTTGGATAAATTCTGGCAAGCTGGCAAGGAAGACCCTCAATGCACAAAAGCTTCTAAAAGAACTGTGTTTGGAGACAGAGCAGCTTCAAGCCAATAAATCAAAATGCAACCTGGAGGAAGAGGAGGATGGTCTGAAAAGCATCTTGTGGGAAGATGTAATGTGTCGATCAGAGAGTTGGACAGATTTCAACTGTGAGATTTCAGGGATGGTTCTAGATGTTGAACGGTTGGTCGTTAAGGATTTAGTTGATGAGATTGTGATTGGTGAAGGGGATGGTTTACGAGCCAAGCAAAGTCGGCGAAGACGACGGCTGTTTTCCAAGTAAACTATTTGCAGATTGTCTTTCTAATTCTTCTTCATTCACCTTTGTTCTTCCTCTGTTTGTTCTGATTTAAATTTTTTGTTTTTGCATGAAAGCATAATGATTCACGGATAAGAAGTAAGAACTGCAGTCCTATGTTATATGATAAAACATGTTCCATTCTCAGATCATGACACCATACATATTTGTAAGAAGAAGTATAGGATCAGACCCTTTGTATATGAGCTCATGTTTTACATTAATCTTATTCCTGGTGATCAGCCTATAATCTATGTTTTGTGCTTTGTCTTGTAAGCTGAAGTACAGTTTAAGTATCATTATAAAGTGACCAAGTGAGAAAACATACAGCACTGAAAGAAAAGAGAAAAAATGGAGTTGCCATTTGTATGTCTTTCATTAAACTTTCTTTTTGTATAGGCTTAATGTATAATTTGATTCTTCAACTATGCTATTCTTAACAATTTGATATCTACAGAAAAAAAAAAATTTACAATTGAATATCCAAATTTTGTTTCATCAAGTATTTTATATCATTAATTAACATTATTAGTTAAATTGCTGACGTACGTGATAATTATTAATCTATAAAAATCAGCCACGTACAATAATATTATTGTGGTTGTTATTTGATCACATAAGCTTACTATTGTGTTTAGTCGAAAATAAAATTTGAATACCTAACGACTTGAGCGATGAGATCGTGTTCTAAAGAAGAAAGGGGAGATCGAATCTACGGCGAATCAATGCTCTCATTTTCTTTGCTTCTTTGCTTTCAACCCCGACCCTCAACGGAAGATGATGAAGTGCTGGCATCCCTGGGTGAATTCGCCTATCCATAACAATCCAGATGGTCCAATCTCTGATCTACGGAAGTCGAAAGTGAGTAGCTTGCTCGTGACATACTTCACCTGCTTGCCCCTCACGATGCTATGGCTGAGCTTTTCAAAATCCCTTTAGTTGGAGAAGAGCTCGGATCCTCTGTTTTGTACGTTGGGCCCTTGGGCTTGGTTACTCTGCTCCCTACAAAAGAAAGAGCGTCAGTGCTGCGTTCGTTCCATCTTCCTGATCCCCTTACTTTGCTGACACTGAAGCCAATACCAATAGTCAAATAATATAGTTCAGAGTTAAACATTATATTAACCCTTTCGTAAAAAAAAATTTCAAGAACATAAGAGTGTACATCTACTACTTTATAAATATTAACTGGAAAGCGAACAAAGCTACAAATGGAAAACTTGCCTCCGTAGCATAGTGGTAGTGCGTTCGCTTCGTAAGCGAAAGGTCGCGAGTTCGATCCTCGCCGGGGGCTCACTATAGTGGTGGACTAGTGAAGGTTTTAGTTTTTGAGCTTTGGGATACGATGACTTACATTTGTAGAACAAGCCCTGACTAACTTTTTGCGCCACAGCACAAAAGAAATATCCTCACACCGTCACACTAAAATCTTTATAGGGTGATATCGGTTAAATTCGGATTGATTTCGATTTAATTTGATTTTTTGAATATTATATAATATTATAAAATTTTAAATTTTGATTTAAATTTAAATTAAATTTTTATTCGATTTGATTTGAATTGAACAAAATTTTATTAGTTTCGTTCAATTTAATTTATTAATTTTTAATTTTTATATATTATTTTAATATAAAATTTTAATCTATTTAAATAGATTATAATATAAAATTATTATTTTTATTTCATAAAAATTAAAAATATATATAAAAATTAAAAAAATATATAATTCGATTCGATTTAATTTTTTTTATTTTTTATCTCTTAATTTGAAATTCGATCCAAACTTAATATTTACATTTAATATCTGAACTTAATTTGAATTGAATAAAAATATTAATCTAAATCGAATTGAACATTATAATTTCGAATTAATTTTTAGATTTATCAATTTTTTCTCACCCCTTTCCTGAGTTTTTACTTTTTCAACAGCAATAAATAATTGTTTGTAGATTTTTTTTTTATTAAGAAAATATCTAAATTGTAAACGGAGTTTTTAAACTCATAAATAAAGTCAAGAGAATTGCACATAACTCTTAAGTATATTAAAAAATAAAATATATGTTTATTTTTTAATCTTGCATGCATACATAAGTAACCAAGAAATGGAGTTTCAGCCCTACTTAATTAAGTGAGAGAAAAGCATGATCTCAACTTTTGCTTAAAAAATCTATTATTAAATTGGGTGGTTGATTAAATTAAAAATTATAATCCTTTAATGCATATGAATTTTGGTTATGATTAGGGTTTAAGAAATGGAGGTGGGGGCAATAATAATATATAGATACTGAGGTGTGAGACTGTGATGGCAGGCACGTTGCTGTTGGGATGTGGCGCTTTCAGGCAGTCGGTGGGCGTGCATTGCTGTATCCGCGTAAAATAGCACTTGGTGTTAGAGTTGGCATCGATCGATTGGGGTGAGTTTTGTTTGTCATGAATTCGATTCGATTTTATATGTTATTAAATTTAAATTTGATTTTATTTAAATTTTTTTTTATTTTTTTACATTCGAATTTGATTTCGATTTAATATTATATAAATTATACTTGATTTGATTCGATTTAAAATTAATAAAATATATTTTTTAAATATAAAATATTATTTTTTAAATATAAATATTAAAATATCGAGTTATATAAATATGAATAAATAAGATATAAATATTATTTAAATATAACGAATAAATCGAATTGGATCGATTTCTTAAAACTCGAATTCGACCAAATCGATCCGAGTTGTCATAAATATATTCCGATCGATCGACCGAGTATCGATCTCGAACGTAAAAAAAAAATCGACCCCTCGATCTCGAGCTTTCAGATCGAAATCCATCAGATTGATTAATTACAACTACTATGGTGCAAGTGACAATGAGATTTAAAAGATATATAACTATAAATTTAGAATTTAATTCAAGAAAAACTCAAAATTTTATATTTATAAAAAAAAGTTAATATTACAAATAATTTTTTAATTATAATAAATTATTTAATTTGATACATAAATTTAAAATATTATTTGTGTCTTATTTTTATCATTTAAAATAAATATTATATTAATTAATAATTCAAATACCATATTAAAAATTTTAAAAAATTTTCATTATAATTTAGACAACATTCATAAGATTACCCTTATTAAAAAAAATTAATCAAAATATCATCATAAAAAAAAACCTCGAAAACTTAGATAAAAAAATTATAATTTAAAGGTAAAATATAATATATATGTGTGCGTACGCATGTATGTGTGTTAATTTTGTTCATGGATAAAATTATCTATCCGGCCCACATGTTCTGTACGGCTAGATAAGGTTTTTCTTTTTTATTTTATTTTTTTAGGTTATAGTAAAAATAAATCTATTAAGTAATATTTTGTGTGAGGTAATTTGTCTAAAAACTATGTTGATCTACATTTAATAACTACATCATCTTATTTGATAGTAATTTAAAATTTTATATGACATTAATATTAAATTATTAAAATGATAAAATCACTGTCTTAAAATGTGATATGATTCTCAATTTAAAAAATGAAAAAATTTAATAACCATGAAAAAGTAATTTTTAATATTATTTTTTAATTAATTTACTTTGACGAAAGATGTATTTAACGTTGCCCTAGAAAGCTGGCTAAGAAAAATTTTGAAAAATCTATTTTTTTGATAATTTATTTTAAAAAATATTTTTTATTATAGTTAAATAAATATTTATTGATTATAAAAATAATGAATTTATTTAATAACTTTTTTAGAAATTATTTTTCATCCAAATTGATTTATACTTTATAGTTTTCTATAAAATAATATTTAATTAATTTATAAATTATTGATTCAATATGTATTAAATTTTTTTGTTTTATAATTTATAATCACCGGTGATCAAATTATTTTGATAATCTTATCACTATAATAATTAAATTATTATAATAATTTAAAAATGATACCAAACATTATCTTAAAATAAAAAAAAAAAAAGTTGCATGCAGTTTGCATGCAAAAATAATTCAATCAAGTTCAGCATTATTAGTTCAAAGAAGAATAAGGAATGGGAATTAGGAACAAATCACTCCTTCTTCTTACAGTTTAGGCAAAAGATTCTGCCATGTCCAAATCTCCATACTTCATCCCATTTGGGAGCTTCCAATCAAAATGGTACAAGAAATATGCAAGTGGTAACTCAATGCTGAGAATCGCAAATGATATTCCAGGGCAAATTCTTCTTCCTGCGCCAAATGGGATATACTCAAAGTTTGTTCTTTTGATATCAACTGAGCTGCTCGAAAATCTTTCTGGATGAAATTCCTCAGTTTCTGTCCAGTAACTAGGATCTCTTTTTAAACCCTTGCATTGATAATGACTTTGGTTTTGGTTGGAATGTGCTATCCATTAATCACACAATTTTCACTGCATTCTCTTGGAATTAAAAAAGGAGCTGGAGGGTGCAACCTCAGAGTTTCTTTCACAGTTGATCTTAAGAATTTCAATTCATGAATCCTTTCTTCATTTACTCCACCATTTTCATCAAAGACTCCTCTTACCTCATTTTGTGCCTTTTTCATCAGTCTTGGATCTTTCGATAGTTCTGACATTGTCCATTCTATTATAATTGTCCATACAGATCAATTGATCAAACCCACATTCATAAATCTCAATTTTTTGAAATATTTGCAGAGTTTTTTTTTTTTTTTTTTCTGTCCATTTGAGTTTCTATCTTTCTAGGGCAGTGGAAAGTGGGAATAGCATGAGACAAAGAGGAAAAGGACAATAGTTGTTAATTTTGAAGGTTGCAATATGGTACGCAGGATAAAAAATAGAGCCAAGGGTTGCAATTCTGTCCTAGAAAAAGATATTAAAATCGAAGTTAGTTTTGAGATCCCACATGAGTGTTTAATTCAATGATAGATGCATATATTCGTTACACAAAAATTCGAACTGATTATGCATATATCTTATTTTCAAAACGCGAGCTCTTTTGTTAAAAAAAAAAAAAATTAATATTAAATTTTGGAGCCATTAAATTAGGGTAGGAAGTTTATATGCATTTTAAAGTAGAAGTTAATATACAAACTTGGATGACTGCTTTTATGTTGTCATTTGTCAAAGGAAATTCAAGATCACCTTGCTGTTGAAGCTTCAGTAGAACATCAACCAGATCTCCTTCTACTTGTTCTTTGGCTGCAGCTTCAGTGAAGCATTGACAATGTTTTCAAGTATCCTATCAGAAGCCTGATGTAGCTTCTAGTTGATTCCTCATTCCGCTAACTTTTTTAAGCACTTGACTTGAAGGATACATATCAGGGAAACTGAAACCACCTGCCAGATTGACAGCTTCTGGCATAATCTTTATAAATTCCTCTAGGCCTTTGCTTTTCTTGCCAAATGCAGCCCTTGCTGTTATCCCATATGACAGTGAAAAAATTTTCACTAAGATTGATTGGAGACCCTTCATTCAAAGATATGGATTTGATGAGATCTGTCACTTGTTCTTCTCTGATTGATTGGAATGATTGGACTCTGTTTCGACTCAAAAGTTCCTTGCTGCAAATCTTCCTCATCTGTCTCCAGTAGTTCCCATATGGTGTAAAAATAATTGCTTTACAATTATAGGCCATGACCTCGGAGGCAAGGACATGTGGCCTTTGGGAAAAGATGAGATCATTGGTTTTCATAACCTCTTTGGCAACTTCTGCAGATGATACTACAATGGTGGGAACTTCTCCAAGCTGTAGATGCATGAAAGGCCCATGTTTCTTGGCAAAATCTCTCAGGTCGTGATGGGGCAAAGAACTCAGTTGCTGCATATTACCTACGATGAGAAGTTTCCATGGTCCCGGAGGAAGCTTCATGGTGGACTTAAGATTTTCTTTGTAGCTAGAGACTAGAGAGTGAATTCCAATTACACAGCCAAACTATATCTTAAATGTTCTAAATAGAAATTAAAAATCATTAAGATTAGGATATCTAACTAGCATACATACAGATAGGATTCGTTTGAACAAGTGATAAAGAGAATTTGTTTTTTCTTTTTGTATTGTTTGGGTTCGAATTCATTTAAAATTTATAAAAAAAATATTTTTTATTAAATTTGTTTGACTCACGTGGCTGTTCAATTAAAAAATTAAAATAATTATATCACATAATGATACTTGTTTTTTTTTTATTTACTTAATCTTTAAATTATATCATTTTCACACTTTCTCTTTTTGGATTCTACTTATCAAAGGTATAATTGATCAAGTTCAAATCGATACAATATTAAATTTGAATTCAACTCAAAATTTGAGATTCAAAATTCAACTCGAACTCGAGTAAATTTTATTTTTTTAACTTAAACTCGACTCGAGATAGAAATCAAATTACTTAATTTCGTTCGATTAACCTCAATTAACATATAAATTCAATTATTATATTCGATAAAAAATCGATTATTTTATTCAATAAAAAATTGATTATTTGTACTCAACATCGAACTTGAATTTAAGATATTTTATTAATTAAAATAATATAAATATATTAAAATATAAAAATTCAATTAAGCTTATGAGTTAATCGAGTTAAGTATAAGAATATTTAAATTTGACTCAATCGATAAGTTGAATTACTCAATTCGAGCTCGATTCGATAACAATCAAATTAAATCCAAATAAATTATAAATATTAATGTATCATTTATGCTTTTATATCAAATCAAATTAAAAATGCAGTCATACCGGAATAGCTAGCCGGGCCATTTTTCCTTTTTACCATGGGTAAGGCATCGGTTTTGATTAGATGTGTTCCATTTTCAGTATTCCAAGTGTTTAAAAGTTATAATGTTTGAAAAAAATATACATAACGTGAAATAAACATAAAATAAAATGGAAATAATAAAATATAACAAAGCGTGAAACACAATGGGATAAATTTTATAGTATCAATAAAAGGACTAGGCATTTGTCATTGAACACAATGGTGGCTGCTCAAGCTGTTACTGCTTTGGGGCAGGATCTTGTTGTCTAAATAACCAAATTAATCCCCTCAATAGATTTCTTTACATGGCGTAAATGAATTCAATATAAACTAATTTTATTATATTGGCAACATGCTTATTTAATTAATGAATTTTAAAATATTATTCATAATAATTTATTAAATTTAATAAATAATTATAAACAAATAAAAATTAAATTTATTTACAAATTATTCGTCGAATATTATATTCGTTTACATTCCAAATGTAAACAAATATAAGTATATTTTTAATCTATTCAATTAATTAACAAATATTATAATATTATTTTTTATGATTTACTAAAAACATAAACAAAAATGTTTATCAAACATTCTATGCTTACATCCTTGTTTCTTTATGTTTACCTACGGATAGGGTTTATGGCATTGCGGTTCTGCCATAGATGTTTTCTTTAGTTCCGGGGCTTACAAAACAACAGTTTAATACATTATCCATATCTATCCCAAACATTCCAAAGCTTTAAAATATCTGACAGAATCACACACAAACATGCACCCAGCGCCACAGCTGTCACTATCTTGAAGGGAACATTAGCCCAAGGAGAGAATACAGAATGATTCTCACTTTTTGAGTAAAAGATGGAGCAAGAAGGAAAACAGAAACAATGGAGTTGGCTCTATATTTCTTTTCTTATTGCAGGACAGCTAATAAAAACCAGATACTCATCAGACCTACTGTCTGTGATGTTGTGAAAACTTAGGCCAGATTATCATGTTTAGAAAATCATACAAGCTTGAAGGAATCAATGACATCAGCCATCAGCCGACTGCACTCGCATCTGGGTTTATACAAACATGACGGTTACAGAATAAACCAAACAAATAAAAAAAATACAGGTGACTATCCTTATTAATGTCGGACACTGCATCCTCTTTAACTTCAAGAGTCTCATGAAATTGCTATCATAACATGGCCTGCATTTGTTCCAGGACAGGCCAGCAAGGGAGTGAAACTGAAGGAACTGGTGCACATTAAATATTGCCACAGGTTCCAGAGCCTGCTCACATGCCAGAAACGTTTTTAAAGCCAGTAATATTAGCTTGGTAATACAAGAAACAAAAGACACAATCTCAATGAGATTACTAGCGCAAGGAATTACATATGGATTAGTATAACAAGTAGGCCTTTTCCGACAACATGAAGTCAGCTATATGGACCATATTGCATCACTCTGCTCCATCTAATTCTTTAGGACCATATCCTCGGTAAGCTTAGAAAAAGTGAGGTCCTTTTCATAGGTTCAAATATGAATCTAAGTTGATACTACGAACAAGTTAAGAAAATCAGGCAACAAAATGTAGCACACTTAAATATCTTGAATGGCCCCATACTTCTATTTTATAAACAGTAGTTGAAGAATAAAACAAATTTCTAGAATGTGGCCACCAAGTATTGGGAACATCACCACACTTGTAGTATATGGTTGGCATACAATTCCAAGATATACACATGCATCCTCCACGAAAGATAATAGAAATGCTTGAGTGCAACTTACTTTGCATTGCAAATCAAGAGAGAGAGAGAGAGAGAGAGAGAGAGAGAGGGAGCAAGTTTACTTTATAGATCCAGTTTCTATAGAATGCAAACAAGAAGAACATGCAGAAGGATCTACAACCCTTTCTGCTAGCATCAGAAGCTCAGAAATGAAAGTTTGCCACAGGATCTGACAATGCTATCTCACCAAAGATTCACCATTGCCAAGATCAATAACTAATACCAAAAAAGCATTGCCAGCAAATTCAGGTACAAGAATCTTCTTGTCTTACCCTAAAAATTGCGGGCAGGAAAGCTTCCTTTGGAACAATTGCAGCAGAAGGCTTTTTGAGGAATGCTATGAGAATTTAAAGTTTGCAGCACTTGGTGCACAAGTTAGGGCCTTTGCCCAAAGTTTGATAGGATATGACATTAGGTCCACCTATACTCCTGTCCCATGCTGCTCTATTCAACTTGAGTGAATGCTCAGTGCAAAACTTGACTCATGCCTTTCTTTTTTTTTTAAAATAAAGGAAGACACTCCACTAAAATAAACCAAGGGGGTGCCAAACAATGTATAAGGCTAGTAGTTAGTAAACAACAACAAAGGTGTTTTACAACTTACGTGAATTAAAAGCTAAACATAAAAGAATTGTCTGAAACGCAATATGCATGTAAAATAGGATCAGTGTTTCTTTTTTCACTTCCTCTGACATCACATAATGCCAGACTTTAGCATGATAAAAGTAACAAATAGTGCATAATAAGTTAAACAGCTTTTCTTCTTAGTTTTTCCCAAAGATCTTGAGAGATGACATTTTGTCACACATTACCACATTATTTCCTACCTTCCTTCCACCCAATCCCACCACAATGAATTTACATTACTAAGCCATAATCCCAACTTGCCAAACATTGGAATAGCTACAAAACAACTACCAGGAAAGACCTATGCTAAGAATGAAGAAATAAACTGTCAAAAACCTCTAGTGCATCAAAGCAACATACAAGATCTCATAGAAATATAGCTTCAAATATACCAATATTTAAAATCTCATGATAACCCTAATCCCATCCAAAACAAAACGTTCTTGAACCTAATAAAATAGGAAAACCTTGAATACCACATTCATCCTCAATTTTAAGCACCAAATCACTCCCACTCAAATTCATATCAACTGGAACCATCCATCCTCATCAAAAACCAAATATCATAAACATTAAACAAAGCAGTATATCTCATCTTGCGAATAAACATTGCACAAAACTCAGAGAGAGAAATTTCAACCTGACCCTAATTAACTCCTTCAAACTCAAATAAAAAGAAAATCACTCCATGTCTCCACATTTAAACTCTAACGCCTTAAATAAGTATTCTAGAAGACATATATCAATCAGAAATCAAAAAAGCAGTGAATGATCTTAGAAGTCATCTAGTTACAATACCTTCACTTCTGCACAATCATATAGTAACTCATAATCAAGCCTCAATAAAATTCCACCCAACCCCCAGCCGCTTAAAAGCCCAAACCATAAAACAGTAACAAAACAATCACCACATCTCAAAACAAAAACTTGACAAATACCCAAATCTTTAAAACATCAAAATTCATTAAAAAAAGGAACAAATAAAAAGAAAATCACTCCATGTCTCCACATTTAAACTCTAACACCTTAAATAAGTATTTGAGAAGACATTATATCCAGAAATCAAAAAAGCTGTCAATGATCTTACAAGTCATCTAGTTACATACCTTCACTTCTGCACAGTCATATAGTAACTCATAATCAAGCCTCAATAAAATTCCACCCAACCCCCAGCTACTTAAAAGCCCAAACGATACAACAGTAACAAACCAATCACCACATCTCAAAACAAAAACTTGACCAATGCCCAAATCTTTAAAACATCAAAATTCATTAAAAAAAGAACAAATCAAAAGAAAATCACTCCATGTCTCCACATTTAAACTCTAACGACTTAAATAAGTATTCGAGAAGACATTATATCAATCAAAAATTCAAAAAGCAGTGAATGATCTTAGAAGTCAACTAGTTACAATACCTTCACTTCCGCACAATCATATAGTGTCAATAACAAACCAATCATACGCCAGTAACAAACCAATCACCACATCTCAAAACAAAAACTTGACCAATACCCAGATCTTTAAAACATCAAAATTCATTAAAAAAAAGGAACAAATACCTATATCTTAAAAATATCACAAGTAGCTAAATGAAGCATCAAAGTAAAAATAACAATAAAAATTTTAAGAATTTCGAAAATCGGACCTATTTCTGGTAACCTCCACCAATGGCATTCTCATCTTCTTCAACTTTAGCAGTCAAGTAAACCCTAGGAAAATCGTTGACATCAAAGGTCTTCTCTTTCATCATCTTCTCCACGTCAGCTTTCTTCAAGATGATACGGCGGATCGGGGGACGGTTGCGGCGTTGATCGCGGGTGTAATATTTGATGTCGAAGACGGTTTCGGGGTCGGAGGTTGGGACGATGGGCTTTTGCAAAGGTGTGGCGGGGCAGCGAATACGGTACTCCGTAGCTTTGGGCAAAGCGTTTTTGTACTCTGGATCGGCGCAGGGTCCGGTTATCTCCCATGGCTTCTTGATGTAGCGTTTCAGGCTTTGGAAGATGGAGCCGCTTGCTTTGGAGGCCATTGCTAATTTGCTCTCACACACACAGAAATTGAAAGAGTGACTCGATTTGGTAAATTCTCGACACTCCAGAGTTTTAGGTAATAAATATTTTTAGTTTATTTTATTAAATGAACTTTTTTTTATTTTGTTTTAGTTTGGTAAAAAATTTGTGAAATTTAAAATTTTTAAAATATTTAATTGTAATTATAATTTTAAAATTTTAAATTTAAATTTATAAAGAAATTTGTCTTCAAATCAGTTCTAAATAATCAAATTTTAATCTATACATTTAAATAAATAAATTCATCAACTTTGATTAAATTTAATATTATTATTTTATAACAATCATTTTGTTTTTAAATTTTATAAAAAAAATGTGTCAATTTTTAATCTCAAATTTAAACTTAGTTTCTTTTAAATTTAAATTCACATAATAAACAAGTATTTAACTCAATAATTAAGGTACTAAACAAGCATTTAACTCAAAAGTATCTGTAATTAATTATCTAATTGCTACTTATTTTACTTAATTTATGATCAAGCATTTTCAATTTTAGTTGATGTTCATTAGTGATATTTATTTTAAAAATATAATTAATATATAATTTTTTTGGATTTATAAAAAATATATTAAGTAAATATTTTTTAAATATATCATTAACTAGACACTTGAACAAATGGCGTAATGAAAATCTATTTTACATTAAAAAAATGTTTGATTCACAAGTTTTTAAATTTTAAGAGAAAAAATAATATTGAAAGAGAATATATAATTTTTGAATTTTGTTAAAATTATAAATAATAAAATTTATATTTCCTTATGAGATTAAAAATAATAATATAATTTAAAATGTGATCAATTGAAAGTAGAGGAGAAAAAATTTTCTTTTTTGTTTTGAAATTTTAAAAAAATTTTAAAAAGAGTAAAGTTTTTTATTTTAATTTTAAAACTATTGAAAATTTTTGAAAAACTAATAAAATTACATTCCATGAATCATGCTAAAAAATTAAATTATAAAAAGTAAGATTTTGATCAATAATATTACTATTTCTCGAATCGAGCGTCATTTAAGAGAAATTATTAAATGCATTAATAATAAAAAATTTTAATTTTATAAATAAAATTAATCGGATAATATATACTTTTTATTATATATTTGAAAAATAAAAAAATAATTTTAAAAAAAGTAAGATATGCATTATTACATTAATCTCGTTTGTGAAATTAAAATTTTATTATCAATATATCAAATAATTTTTTAAATAATAAAAAAAATGTAAATTTAAAAAAATTTTATATTTAATTTTTAGTTAATAGTACTTATAATCCTTAAACTTTAAATCAAATTTTATTTTCATTCTTAATCTTTAAAATTTTTAATTAAATTTTAATTACGTAAAATTATCTTATTTTGATATTTTTTTATATAATCGTCTAAATTGAGAAATAAATGTCAACTGACTTCACATCTCGTACGGATAGTATCAACCATTAATTTGTATCTCACGTGACAAAGGATGAATGAAAATAAAATTCGCTCAAAATTTAAGACTAAATATGATTCTATCTCAAACTTTTATATGTTTAAAATATATTTTATAAAATATCAAAATTTCTATTCTTTATAATTTCAGTATCTTTCGGTTGGCCGTGTTTGTGTCCTTCATATTTCCTGCTTCGCACGCATACTGTCTTTGCCTTTGGGCTTCGCTCTCTCTCCGCTTTCTTTTAAAGCTGACAAATCTCTCTTTTAAGCTTAAATCACTCACGAATCAGGTACGTCTGATCTTACTTTTCCCATGTCTCTTATTCCAATTGATCTCTGTTTCATCGTTACAGCCACAGTATTTGATTGATCTGCTAATCACCCGCAAGATCGTGCCTTTCAGTTGAATTTGGTTGTTAAATCTGCTTCATAGTCTTCATTTCTATGAAGGGCTTTTTGGGTTTTCCTTTTTTTTTTTTATTAAAGGGTTTATTTTGTTTTCGAATCACTGTCTTAATTGTTTTTGGATATAAAGAACTATGTCTATGCCTTTTATTACTGTGAGAAATTTTTTTTAGTGATGGGATTTCTCGGTTACTTGTTTTAGCTTTGTGGTTTTATTGTTGCTTGAAAATTGTTGGTATACTATTTAATGGTTGAGAACTACCTTTATGGTGGAAAGAGTTTGTTTCTAACATCTCTAAGTCTAGGATTCCTTATCAGTAGGGCAAATATTTTAACTTAATTTATTAAATTTTTCATTAAATACAAATTAATATAAAAACTTCCAAACAAAATTAATATGTATAACAAATTTTTATGCTATAAATATAATATTTGCATAACTAAAATTAACTATATGGTTATTAGCGAATATAGTTTAAACACCACAAACACATACAAACATATATAAATATGTATATATTAATTTAATAAAATTTTATGTACTTATAGAATTCTTAAAGATAGATGTAATATGTGAAAAAATAAAAATTAATATGTCTAGTTTTATCATCTATTTTCATTTCTTAATCATTATAACGTGGAGAATAAAGAAAATCTATTTCCTTATATATAATGAAAACAATATTTTCTTAATATTCAATGAAAACAAGGTAGGCATGTTAGTTAAAGGTTTTTTTTTTTTTTTCATTCTTATTAATTCACACTTTATATGTTATCTATATGAACTCTAAAAGTTCTTTTTTTGTTTTCCTACAAAATTACTATATATTGTAATGAAATTGCTTACCATCCAAAGCATAAATGTTCAATTACTTTTTTTTTAGAATAAAATGTTCAATTATTAGATAAACAGTAAAAAGTTTTCCTTTATAAGCCTCAATTTAATGGGGGCATAGCTTAAGTTTTCTAAAATTTATAAGATTTTTTTATAATTAACTTAAAAAATTTTAAGATGTTAGTGGGGCAGTTGCCCCTACAACCCCATATGTAGATCCGTCCCTAGTGGAAAGTTTGTTTCTCACATCTCTAATTATTCATGATCTGCATTATGTCAGTCAACTTTTTCTAGGCAGTTGAACATCTTGCATTTTGTTTGTTGAGTTTTCGATATTTTGTGTTGTGCAAACATTTTGTTGATCTTTGCCCTTACTTTTAGGGTCACTTCTAAATACTGCTTGTAAAAAGTACTTTTCGTTTGTGCGTTTTTTTGTTCTCATGAAAGATGGGGGATTGATCCTCTTTGTTCATTGTAATTGTGTAGTTAGTTGTCTGTATTTGAAGTTTTATTTGTTGATTCCTTGAAACTATGGACAGATGGCCATGCAGGAAGGAAGCCCTGTCCGTGCTCCCAGTGCTCAAGTTGTTGGAAATGCTTTTGTGGAGCAATATTACCATATTCTTCACCAATCACCGCATCTGGTGCATAGATTTTATCAAGATTCAAGTCATTTAAGTCGGCCGGATATGTATGGCAACATGACAACAGTAACAACGATGCAAGTATGTCTATTAGAAGTTAAGATAACTTCCAATATAAACAGGCATGAGCATATTGTTATGAAGAATTCAAAATATATGGCCTCTTTCCTTTTTTTACATCAGTCATTCCTGTCTGCTTGAATCCTGCTTCATGCAGGAGATCAAACAGCTAGACTAAGTTGATAATAAGTTATTGGGAACAATGGAAGAGAATATTTGTTATAATTTTTGTTCACTTTAGAAGGTACAGGAAACAAGCAAAACTTTAGGTGAATCTTTGTCTGTTTATTAGATGCATATGTTTAACTGTAGTAATGGATTTTTTTCAATTGTTTGTTTCTGCTGACTCTTATATTTGATATAAAAATTGTTAAATTTGACAACTTGAATGGGCATTGTCTTTTGCCGTCACTTAGCTTGAACATAGTTTGAGTGACAAGTGCACTGATATATGCTTTGGAGCAGGCAATTAATGAGAAGGTACTATCGCTGAATTGTGAGGATTATATAGCAGAGATCAAAACTGCAGATGCTCAGGACTCTTTTGAGAAAGGGGTCATTGTACTGGTAACTGGATGCTTAACTGGGAAGGACAATGTGAGAAAGAAATTCACACAAACCTTCTTTCTGGCTCCACAAGACAATGGCTACTTTGTCTTAAATGATGTTTTCAGATACATTGAAGAGAAAGAGATGCAAAACCCTGTTGCGGTTAATTGCGACAGTGAACAGGCTTCAATATCTGCCTTGACACCAGAACCAGGTTTGACCTGATTCTTCTCTTTGTGTGCATTATTGTATTTTCTTTACACTCAAATCATGAAATTCTTTGACATTTGCTTCCAGAGCCCACTCATGACCATTTTGAGGAGGACCCATTAAATTACGCAGAAGAGGAAGATATTAATAATGGTGCTGAAGTTTGTGACCCCTCAGATAAAGAGGAAGGATCAGTAATTGAAGAAGAGGTTGTTGAACCCCAAGGCATTGCAAGTAAGAATGAGAGTGTTGCGGCTGTTGATTCAGCTCCTGTGGTTCTAAAGGATGCTCCAAAGAAGTCATATGCTTCAATTGTGAGTTAAAGTTAATGGTTTTTTTTTTCCCATTCATATTGTGTTTCTTTTGATGTTTTATTGAACTTACTGAATTACATATTAGGTCAAAGTAATGAAAAGTAAAACAGCATCTACTCCAGTCTATGTTCCTGTCAATAATGTGAGGGTGGCACCTGCAGACCAACAGTCAACTGTTTCTGCAAAACCTGATCCAACACCAGAGGCAGCAGTACCTAACAGTGATAATGCACCTGAAAGTAGCAATGATATTGAGGAAGGTAATTGCCAACTTCATTTACTGCATGCTCGCAGGATAATAGAAGCAACGTTGTTCTTTTTGTCAATGAAGTTAGATCCATAGCTTTTCTATTTTAATCAATAAAGATATCAATTAAGTGTGTGAAGAAGGCATACTTGATTTGGCATGGTTAATGTTAGGTCATATTTATTTTTCTCTTTGATATGTCTTCATGCATATTCTTTCTTGTTTTAAAACATAAACCTTATTACTTTGTTCTTACTAAAGCTGAAGGGCATTCCATATATGTACGGAATTTGCCTTACAATGCAATGCCTGCACAACTTGAGGAGGCATTCAAAAAATTTGGACCCATTATGCGTAATGGCATCCAAGTCAGAAGTAATAAGGTATAAGATTTTAACTTAGATATCAATTTGGGCTTCTCCTTCCTAGTTGACATTCCTAGTTCAAATTCTCAGTTCTTACTGTTTTGTGATTTCTTGCCTCCTGCAGCAGGGATTCACTTTTGGTTTTGTTGAATTTGAGACTGCAAGTTCAGTGCAGAGTGCCCTTGAGGTATGCTCATACCTTTTATCTCTCCTATTTTAGATCTGGTGCAGTATGATCACTGTCATAAGTCACTCTTCAATTTAATCACTTACATGACAACATTTCATAATTATAGTCTGCCGAATACATGCCATATGTCAGGCAAGTTCTACTAAGTTATTCCTCTAAAGTTATTGCTAGATTACCGTAATGGAAACAGCAATGTACTCGTTAGTGGGGTTAAGCTGTCTTCAAGTTTTCAATCATGTCAAACCTCCCACATCTCCTAACCAATATCAAAGTACTTAGAAAATACAAAGAAAAGAACAAGAAATAAAACCCAGAACTAGATCATTGTCTTCTAAGTGACAGTATGATTGCATGGGATTACCTGAATGTGGGTTTTTGGTCACTTGAAAAGTATCTGATTAGATGACTTTATCTAGAACTTTCTTCAAGAAAAATCTACTTTTTGTATAGGTAATTGAATCAGCTGGTCTAAAAAATAAATCATCCTTGATCTGTTGTCTTTTTCTATTCTCCTGCTACTTTTGGACAGTATATCGACATGACACAGGAACCTTGTATCGTTTTTTTGTTCATTTAGGTCTGATATTCTTCTTACCCTTTTATTAGTTCACTCTTCTGTTTGTAACCAATTTGCAGCCTTGTTGTATTAAGTTAGAAAGTTGAAAGATTAAAATGATTAAATGTTAAGTGGTGTTGTATGGATGTCAAAAAGAATGGATTAACCTCATCTACTCTAAGGTCCTAAATGGAAGGTTTAATTACAATGTCATCCCAGTTTTTGCTGCAAAACTTAACGATGATACTAATCAGAGACCTTGCTTTTACATTAACATTTTGGAGATGTAATTGAAAATCAGGTAACGCTTCCTAAATGAACCTTGTAATCAATCCCAAGCATATCACAGTTTAGTAGGGATCAGATTCACTATGTAGGGTTTCTTTTTTTCCTTTTTCTTTGAGGGGAAAGTGGGTGTTGTACTGAAAAATCAAAGAAATGACAATTTCTTCAACGGCTTCTTTGTTTAAACTGATTGTAGGTATTTTAGTTGAATATCAACTGCAGCTCTTGTTTATTTTTCTCCAAATTTTATGTCATTGTTTTTTACCAGCTTTTTGCATAGTTTTAACCTTGAATTATAATGGTAGAGGTGCAAGCATATTTCTTTGTCACCAACTGCATGATGGTTGTGAAAATATTCTTCTTGGCTATACAATAAGCTAAGAATGTTTTGTAGAGTTGCTTGTTAATCTCAATCTGCCTATCCACGGTGCTTCTGTAAGCATATTTTTGAATTTGTGGTTTTGCTGAATGCATTTCAGGCTTCACCAATCACAATTGGGGATCATCAAGCTGTTGTGGAAGAAAAGAGGACAAATACTCGGGGTAATTCAAAATTTATTTGGGAAATATGCATTTTAGATGCCGAAATTTTATCAAATTTTCCATTTTTTTCCTAACTATATGATTTGGCACAAATTGAACTTTTAGTTCATCTAATGATAGTACCGAGCTTAGGAAAGATATGGTCCCAAATATTTCACTACGGTGCAATACCCATACAGCTGGCGATGCATTGTGAAAAAAAGCCTAGTTTGCTTCTAGTAATTTGAACCTTTGGTCATATTTGTTCAGTGGGGTGGGTTGTTGTTCCTCACCTTGGTCATATCAAATTCTCTTGCCAATTCTTGTTATAATCAGGGATTTCTGTCTGATAGTTTTAGCTAATTTGGATTGAAGTTTGAAGTTTAATAGTAATACTATCTGAAAAATATCAAGCTGGCATAAACAAAAACAAAAAAAATTATGGAAGTTTGATTTTTTAAAATGCGTTTTCTTCCAATAATTTGCTTTTATTCTTATTCATGTTGCAATTCCTTGAAGGTTGGCACTAGGATAAATAATTTGAAAAAGTTCTGCTTTTTGCAGTTGGTAGCAGTGGGAGACCAAGGTATTCTTCAGGTAAAGGTACTTATCGGAGTGACAGTTTCAGGGCTCGAGGGAACTTTGGCGGTGGTCGAGGAGGAGGCTATGGCAGGAATGAATTCAGAAACCAGGGTGAGTTTTCAGGACGACCTAGGGGTTCCGGTGGACGGAATGGAGATAATTATCAGCGGGCCAATCAGAATGAAAGGGGTGGCCATCAAGGTGGGGCAAAAGCATGATTCTAATTCTTCTTGGACGTTAGCAGAGAACGTAACCAGATGATTTTTTGACAGTATAAACAAAGGGAATGAACGAAAGAACTCGAATTCAAGTTTTTAATTATCACAAATAAGCTGTTTATGAGGAGACTATTGGGCTTTTCTTTTTTTCTGACCTCCCCTTGAGGCATTTCACAAAGCTTACGTGACATAGGGAAAAGGTGGTTTATTCAAGTAATGTATTCAGGATTCTTTTGATCAATTTTTTGTTATTATCATAATATGCTCGTTTGCCTCAAATCTTTCCTTTTTACGCACATTTACATGAAAACTTCAAATGATAGCTTCAGGGAATTAACCATCATCGCCATTAGTCTCTGTCTCTCTGAAGTGGAAGTCTGAGAATTTGATTTTTTGATCAGGCTGCATTCCAAGGCATTATTGATGTTATATCATTGCATCCCACAATTTAATACACAATACAACGATATAAAAATGTATTTGTGACATGATATGGCGTGAAACATGCTGTTTAGTTTCAATTTTATTGCCGGTTACTTGAACGTATTCTGTTAGTCCGAAATCGCAGAACTTGCAATGATATCACAGAAAATGGAAGTACCTACTGAAAAACAATGTAAAAGCCATTTCTTTTACTATGGAGTTTGGCTGATATCTGCAAATTGGATACCAAATCTAGTTTCATTTCTGCAAGTTAGATACAAGATTTGATGCGGCAAAAGCTGCTGATCCACCAGCTACACAGACTAGAGCCACCACAACCTGCAACACCACTTCCCAGAGGTTATCCTCAGGCACAAGGTAAACACAAGAAGGACCCAAAAGCAGTAAACCCAAGCTCAAGGTCAAGAGTGCCCCTGGAGTCCCAGGGTCTGTTGCTGCAGACAGGACTCCAAATTCTTCAGCCTTGGAGAGGAGACCTAGTTTCTCTATTGACGACAGGGATAGCCCAAACTTCTCGGCTGCTGATAGCAGGCCAGCTTTCTCAGCTCTGGTTAGCAGTTTCAGTTTCTCCACATTTGTCAGCAGCTTCACTGGTTGTGTGACCACAGGGCTATTCCGTGGCCCTGGCTCGCCAAGCGGGAAGACAGTTGAGTTCGAGCTCTGCATTCTTATTATGCCATCAAGTTAGAAGCTTTGTAATTGTTAATGTCACAATCTGACCATTTAAACACAACAAGCAAAAACCATATGAAAGAAGCATTTTACAATTTAAAAAAAAAAAAAAAACAATTGCTTTGTGTCGTATGGACTATGGACACGAATTTATAACCATAATTTTTCATGTTCTAACATTGCAGGACGACCATACATATATACCAATTGCCAGGTTGCCAGATCTAGTTGATCGTACATCACATTACTCTAACATTAAATCACACTAGATGGATGAGAACATGGAATTCAGGTAAAAACAGTAACAAAGTCCCTCCATTTATATCTTCTGCATTCTTATCAGCAAAACAGTAAACTTCTTGTAATCAAATTAAGCTACTGAAACGTCAAGAGAAAGGCCAGTAACCAACAATACCAAAAATCACATGGGGTTGAATTGGAAAATGAACTGACCTTTCTAGAGCCAACAGTTTTGGCAACTGAAGGCAATGGTTTCTGAGTTGCCATGGATTGGATGAGAAAAGGTGACAAAGTAGCAGAATTTTGGGGTTTAGGCTTTGTTGTTATTCTAGAGGAACAGAGAAATGGATTCCCTTTGCTGCTATAAACAGCTGTGGCTTCCATGTTTGGTTTTTCTTTTCAAATGTCTTCTCTCCCTGGGTTTCCAACCCAACTTCCAAGCTAGGTGAAGTTGGGATTTTTGCTTGAAAAAAAGAGGCCTTGATTCTTGAAACCAATTGCCTGAAATGAATGGACAGAATTGGGTTTCAGTGGTTGAGATTCTCAGGTGGCAGTCAATGATTGGCTAGTCTATTTGCCATTCCGAATATGATGCGAGTCATTTTCCTTTTTCTTATCATCTTATGCGCTTATGGCCATGGTTTGATGGAAATCTGAGTATTCAATCAAGGATAGTGTATTCCTATGCGGATTAAGAAAATCCCCACGTTTTATTTAAATTAATTAGTAAGTACTTTTTGATTTATCCAAATAATCTAACATGCTTCCTTTGTTATTACAGTTGTAAGTCGGAAAATATTTTCCCTAAAAAAAAATATATCTTAATTATATCAATGATGAACATCACTTGGCATTCTTATTACTTTTAAATTCATTTTTTTGTGAGAATATTTTTTTTATATGGCTGCAAAATTAATTTTAAAATTATAAACATCCTTAAAAAAATTTTTGCCATTGAGTATTGATATTTGAAAATATTAAAAAAATTCGTCGTGTACCACATGTAGCTTAGGTTATGATAAAAAAATTTTAAAATAATTAAAAAGAGTATTGATATTTGAAAATATTAAACGTCACATGTAATTTAGATTATAATAAAAAAATTAAAACAAACATATAAAATCTTATAAATTTATATTATTGATGTATAAAAATGAATTCATATATTCATAATTTTATCAAATTTCTAAATAAAAAGATTTACATTTAAAAAAATTTTGGTATGAGATGATTCGTTTAAAAATTACAGTTATATGCACTTAATAATAATATTACATAACAATTTAAAAATTTTACGTAGTAATGTTAGTGTAATAATATCATTATTTTAAAGAGTAATCTGATTTTTATTTTAAAATAATGAAAAATTTTATCACTATGAAATAAGAAAGTAATTTTTAATATTATTTTTAATTAATTTGCCTTGAAAAAAAATTTAGTAACATTGTCCCAAGAAATTGAATAATAAAAAATATCAAAAAATGATTTTTCTAATCACTTTTTTTTTTAAGTTGTTTGTTTCAATTGAATAAATGTTTATTAATTAAAATAATATAATCAATTTATAAAATAATTTTTTTAGAAATTATTTATATTTTATAATTTTTTAATAATAACATTTAATTATTTTATAAATTATTGATTCAATAAATATTTATTTTTTATTTTTTTATAAGGTTATTTTAGATCTTTTATATTTTATATTTTATGATTTATTTTTTTATATAACATCAAATAAAATGATTTAAAATTAATAATAATTTATAATATTCTCTAAAATAATTTAAAATCACTAATAATCAAATCATATTCATTATCTTATTATAGTAATAAAGTGATTAAATCCCCCACAATAATCTTAAAAATGGACTCAAGCTATATTATTGTTATTTCCCATCTGTTAATTAGGGTTGAAACAGAATCACTCTGTTCTCAGTCTCGACAATAAAACCCTAATCCTCGAGTCCGAAGACACACTCTCTCTCTCTCCCCGGTCTCCAAATAAAACGTCTGATTTCAAAGGCAACTAAATATTCTCTTAAGAGAAGCAATGGCGGACACAGTGATCTCTCTTGATAAGCTGAAAGCCTTCTGGTACTCTCAAGTCCACAATGAAGAAAAGTGGGCTCAAAACATGGTATTACATTTTTTTTTATTTATCTTTTATTCTTTTCCTTTCTTAGTTTGTCGTTTGATTTAGTTGCATTTTGATGTGATTTTGATCATGATTTTGTTTTTCTTATATTGTGTTTATGGGAATTTGTTTAGAAAATAGATTTTTACTCCGATCTAGGAAATGAAAAAAAAAAAAGAAGGAAATGAATATTTTGGTTTTGAAGAATTAAACACTGGGGTGGGTGAGCGTTCGATTTCAATTTAGTTGGCTATCAGTATCTTATCTGTTTAGGCATGATCTCCATCCGAATGAATTGCTTTGACTTAATCCAGTTAGGATTAGTTGATTATATGAATGTATTTGTCACTGTCGTACCCTGGTTCTTAATTGAAGTCGTGAACTCGTGAAGTAGAGAGGAATGAAGAGTTTTCTCAAGGTACTAATTGTGGGGAGAATATAATACATAACAACAGGACAAGCTAAGACAACCTTATAGAGTCGGGCGAACTGTTTGGGCATGACCAACAACAAGAGAGAAGTTTTGTGGAGTATAACTAATGCCTTCATTAGTCGGATTTGTTGTTTACATAATTTACTTTATTTTCTTTTCTTGGGACGAGCAATGGTTTTTGTGGCCAACTTAAATATCCATTTATTATGATCTCGGGTTTTTGATGGACACTTTCCTGGAAAGTGTTCAAAAGAAGATGATCTATAAGGCTTAAGAGTTGAACATTGACTTAAGAAAAAATGGAAGTCATTTGATTTTTCATCTTCTCTGAAATATGCTACAAGGTTTAAAGAATAGTATTAAACAGGAGAAAAGCCCCATGAGAGTCCGGAGGAATATATGTGAAAGAATGAAGGGTGCAGAATGGTAGGCCAATTTGCATGATGTTTTGGTGAATGAGCACAGCCTATTGGCTGTAGTACTTCAATATCTGCCTTTTTTCCATCTGAAGCTTTTACAACTAGCCTTTCATAGTGCGTTTCCTCTTCTGATGGCCAATGTCATGGCATCCATCCTCGAGGCTTTTGACTTCTATTGGCTTGGAATGAGGGTGACCAAATATCTATGGCAAGCTTATGGGCTGTGCTATTAGCCCATAGCTTACTTCCAACACCATGATCAGACTTAAATGACTTCTCATTTAAGATGGGCATTACTGTGTGTGGTATATTTTATCTGCGGAAAGAAATCTAGCATAAATTGCTCTAAAAGTGTTTAGAATTTTGTATAGAATTGGTTATTCATTTCTTTCTTAATAATCCAATCACTTTTAGGTTTTCAAGACAAGAATTTGATTGCTCGGAGATCAATGAGCAACATCAAAGGGAATAGATTCCTATAGATTCAAAATGTTCATTTTAATCTATATAGCCTCTTGTAATGTGCTTACATTTTTGCCTTATGTTCGATATATTCTTTAGAGAAAACAGTGCTCTTCGAGCAGTAGTAGAATTTGAACATGCCTTAAAAGTTTTCTATCACCAACTCATTTTAATTGTTGCTTTTACTTGAAATGAAAGTTCTCTTCTCGGTATGATCTTGTTTCTGATATGTTGTTTCATCCTTCTGCTACTTAACAAGTTTCATTTGCATCCTGAGAAATGAAGTATGTTTTTCACCCTCTTTTGCAGAAACTACTGAGAGCTGTTGGGTTATTTGCTGGATCAATTCTTCTAATGCGCAATTATGGTGATCTTATGGCTATATAAGGAATTAAGGATGGATTAAGAGCTTCTGAGTAATCCCATATTCTGTTACTCTGATAGCACGGTGTGGTTTTCTCCGTCCCGGCAGTTTGGAAATGCATGCATTTGTTACTTTTGTGGTTGAAATTTAGGAACTCGTTTGACAATCTCCTCTCTGATAAACTCAGTTAATAATGATTACCATAAATGAAATGTACTCATTCCAATGATGCTGAAATTGTTTTGGATGATTTGTTTTAGAGCTCTGAATCTGATGCATGTATGGCTGTTAATTTGTTATAGAAGATAGCTTCCCTGAGATGTCCGTTCATGTTTTCTAGACCTAATCTAACACTGTTGGAGTGTATTTTAATCGACTTTTACTTGTCTTCTTACATTTACAAATCAAGTACCAAAGAGAATATATCTTAATTATGTTGAATTGAGATGTAGCTTCTTGTAAATCAGAAAAAAAAAAAAAAAGATTATGTTTTTGAACATGGGAAATTTTAAGTGGAGGTTTGATTTCCACTGTACTAAATCTTTTTGTAAGCCAGAAAAAAGAAAAGATTATGTTTTTGAAAATGGGTACTTTTAGTGGGGGTTTGGATTTCACCTGGTTGAAAGTGTAGTATAAATATATTTATTACATCATTAGTTAAATTTAAATATTAATTTTAATAGGATTTATTTAGTGTAAATATTTTAATTATAATTATAATAATTTTTTTTATCATAATAATAATAATAATAATAATTAATTTTATAAAAATAAATCTCATTACCTATTTAAATGAATCTTAAATTTAGCTTGACTTGAAGCTTTAATGGGGTTTGACAAAAAAATATTTTCAGCACCTTTCACTGCATGTCCTCGTATTTGTTGCCTCGTTTCTATAAAGAAAATGGTCATATGTAATAAAGTGATATTGATTAAGATAAAATTTATAGAAAAGAGTTTATAATAAAGGGTTTTTTTAATTGGATAAAAATAATAAATTAAATGTGTAAAAGTAACATAAAAAGATACTTCCAAGTCTTTCCACCAGTTCAGCATTCAACCCTCTTTATCCACCAATAAAAAAGAATAAAAAGAGAAAAAAAACCATTAAAATTACGTGCCGTAATCAATCTTCCATCGTCACCTTTGGATTATTATAATCAGATAATCAACCCCCTTTGACAATTGGGCTTTAAGATAAAAAATTGTTATAATGAGATAATTAAGTCCTTTGACAATTGGACTTTAAGATTAAAAAAAAAAAACTAGAAGGAATATTATGTAGATCCATGGTATCTGATGCAATGATTCAATATGATAGAGTGCACCCAGAAACATGTTGCACCGATATCTCATGCCCATTGCAAACAAAACAAACTACTTTAAAATTTAAAAAGAAACAAGCAATCATTCCATTGAGTTGAGAAGTGGATTGTGCAAGGGCAAAGGCAATGACTTTGACATGTAAGCTTTGAGCTTTTAGTGTTTTATGATGTTGGATTGACTTTAACTTTTCTGGTTTTTTTTTTTCTTTTCTGTTCATTAGTTTGATTATTTAGTTTCTGGGTTTTGTTTTTTGAGGTTTCTGTGCTGCTAAGATTGCACCTTTTTAGTTATTCTTGTCTGGGTTTTTCAGTTCATTGTTTAATATGCTCTGAGATTAATTCTAGCCTTTATATTTATTCATTCATTGGATTGTAAACAGAATTTTGATTCAGTGATCTTTTTCCTTTCCTTTTCTTTTTTGTTTTCTTTCATTTTTTCCTCTTCTTCCTGTCCCAAAGTGGAATTTGTCTTATAAAAGCATAAGGGCATGAGATTATAGCATTTTGATGTTGCGTTACTGTGACCTATAAATACCCATAAATGGGGGTAATTTGCATAATTCATTGATGCCTACATGTGTGGCCTCTTCATCTTCTACTCGTTTTATGATGTGGTCTTTTATAATGCCATTTGATACGCAAAAACACTGGCCGACATCCAGATGGATAACTGATTAGGAAAATAGATATGTAGCCATCAGCTAAAGATAATAATCGTCCACAATTACTGTTGTATGATATATTCAAAACTAGCTAGCAGATTTTGCTTCTTTAGATTATGGCAGTCGTTCTCCTAAATCTTATGAATTATCAGCAAACTGCACCTGTTAAATCTTGGCTACTGCAAGGGCCTTGCCAGATAAACATTTATTTAGTTTTATTTGAATCTCTTACTGTTACGTTTTTTTTTTTTTAAATTTTGGTATCATTATTTAATGTTATTTGAATCTCTTATGATGACTTATTTGCTGCATAGATTTCTTTCATATAAGCACAAATCTGTAGCTGTTATATTAACATATGATATTCCGTTCTCAAGAAAATACATCGATTAGTTATTAACTCTGTGTTTTATCAATGTCTTTACATGTGATTTGTTGAAATATAAACTTTTCTATTCCCTATTCCTTTCATTCTAGAAAATAAGCTGAACGGATTGAATAAATATCTTCGTTTTTTATTATTCCTTTAGGTTGATAAACTAAATTAGATGGTTATACATAGTGAAAGAAAGCAGCTTATAAATTTGTAGTAAATTAAACAAAAAAAAAAATTTTGAATCTCATTTCCTATGTACAAGAGTTAAGTGGAAGAAACAGACCTCCTTAGAAGGTAATTTTAATGTGGCCAATTTCCCCTCTTTTGTAATCAGTTTCGCAACAGCACCCACTGCTCTAGCTAATTGTCCACCCTTTCCAAGTGTGATTTCTATGTTATGAATGGCCGTGTCTAAGGGCATATCGGTTTAAGTAAATTTTTCTTTTTGATCAAATATGAAAGACTTATTTGATATTATGACACACTGCAGGCTTTGTCCCTCTCTTTTTTCTGTCACTCATTGCTGGATGTGCTGCAAGGCCTTTGTATCCACTTCCTAGTAAACTATCGAACAAAAATAGACAGCCTATACAAACCTTACGTCCATATAATATTGCACATCGAGGTTCAAATGGAGAGATCCCTGAAGAAACTGCTGCTGCATACATGGTATGTTTGAGTAGGCACAGTCTGCTAATCTGTATTCTTTCCCCTTTCTGTTTGTATATTTGACATGTAAATCATCAACATAGAGCAATGGAATGAACCACTTTGGTACCATCTTCATTGATACTAGTTGCTCAAGCAAAATTTCTTGGAGCATAAGGGGAATTTTAATTTGTAGAAGAAAGTGAGAGATTTTATTGGCAGTGGAGTTTTGAAATTTCTATAGTTTGACCATCATGACAGCTTTTCTACTTTTGTCTTTTACCCCATCAAACATGCAAGTTTATATGCTTAGATTCCATAATCACTTATAGACACCGAAATATTTGTCTTGTTACATCATTAAAAGATTTAAAATCATCAAGTTTATATTTACATTGACCATATACTGCTTCTTGCAGAGAGCTATTGAAGAGGGTACAGACTTCATAGAAACGGATATCTTATCATCCAAAGATGGTGTCCTTATATGTTTTCATGATGTCACCCTTGATGAGACAACTGATGTCACAAAGCACAAAGAGTTTGCAAATCGTAAAAGGACCTATGAGGTTCAAGGGGTCAATACCACTGGCTTCTTTACTGGTATGGGAGCATACAACTTTCAGCCCCTTTTGCCTCTTACAATGGTGCTATAAAGCTGACGCAAATCCTGTAGATGGGCACCATGATTAGTCTTGCACCATAAGTGCTCTGCAAATTTTGAATTTGTACTCTTTTATGTTTATGTATGCTTTACCCTTGTAATCTTGCATGTCTTCTTGGAACTTCCAACTGGTATATTTCTACACCAGATATCTAGCTGAAATAGCAAATTATTCTCAATATACGCAGTTGACTTCACTCTAGAAGAATTAAAGAAGTTACGGGTGAAACAGAGGTACATTTTTCGGGATCAGCAGTATAATGGTTAGCTCCTCTTTGATTTCTATCTGTTTGGATTTATTCAAATTCCATGCTCTAATATAAAAATAAAAAGTTAGGGAACCATTTGCTAATGCAATATGGAACTAGCTGACCATTTCTATTAGCTGAATGCTATTGCATGGTTTCACAATTATACTAGGTTGAATCACCACAAATTTGTATCATCGATTTCCATTGTTAAGAATTTTGCTGATTTCACTGATTCACCTTGTCCATTACCAACTTTATGGCACTCAAACTCTATAATTAAGAAAGATACCTGTTAATTTTCAGGGCCAATCTGACTGGTTGTTGTGTATTCCTTAGGAAAGTTTCCCATTATTACTTTTGAAGAGTTTATTTCAATTGCGCTGGATGCACCAAGAGTTGTTGGAATCTATCCAGAGATTAAAAATCCAGTGTTTATCAACCAGCGTGTAAGTATTGCATAAGCATCCCTGAAAATTTGCCATCCGGAGAAGAATACGATTGCCCCATAATTAATTGAGTTCTAACAGAGTGGACTGCTTTTTTGTTTTTTATCTTAAAAAGTATATGTTTCAAAAACCACTTCAGAGGATTCCTATAATTCCTCTGACATTGCTGTGGCATAAGCAATATTAGTGAAAAAGCTAAAGAACTCCCCTCTGATTATAATGCTAATTCTGTCATGGGAGGGCTGTGACTGGTGATAAGAGTTTAAACTGTTGGAAAGAGAAATTTACGTCAGAACTTGTACTTCTGTGTTCTCTCATTTTCCATTAGAAAACCTTGTGAAAGTACTATGCAGGTCTGAGAAAAGAACTATTTTAGATTAATAGGTGGCCTATTTACAATGCAGTGAGTTGTGTCAATTGAATGATATTTCCTATGAAGTTTGATTCGCTTGATTTTGAAACAAAGCCTTTAACAGGTAAAATGGCCGGATGGAAAGAGATTTGAGGACAAGTTTGTGGAGACACTTAAGAAGTATGGATATAGAGGATCATACATGTCAAAAGATTGGTTGAAACAACCTGTATTCATCCAGTCCTTTGCCCCAACTTCTCTTGTGTACGTATCTAATCTGACAGACTCGCCAAAAATCCTCTTGATTGATGATGTTACAATTCCGACTCAGGACACTAATCAGGTTTGTTCAAAATACACCTCTTCCTGTCTTTTTCCTTTTAGTCATTGTAGAATGCTCGCAAGACAGCTCTCTGAACTAGAGTTCATGAGTTATACAATAGTTTCAATTCTACCGCCAAACAAGAGGAAGAAAAAAAAAGTTTAAATTGTGATAAAGCCTCTC